TATTTATTTTTATTGTAGAGATGAGGTCTCGCCAAGTTGCCCAGGCGGGTCTCGAACCCGCGGGCTCAGGCGATCCACTCACCTCAGCTTCCCAAGGCGCGGGATTACAGGCTGAGCCACCGAGCCCGGCGATAGAATCTTAATGCAAGAAAAGGCCTCAAGACTTTCAGAATGGAGTCACTAAGTCCAAAGCCTTAGAGAGGGAAGCAGAAGACAGTGGCAAAAAGGAAAGAGAGCAGAGTGAAGCCAGGCCTGCCACTCCCTAACCCGACTCTGCCACGGGGCCCAGGGTCCCGTCAGGACAGCATAGCTCCACCCAGGACTGGCTTCGGCTGGGAGGGAAAGCCCGGGAGCTGGGTGCTGGCATCCCTGAAAGGATACATCCTGGGTTGTGGAGGGTAAATTCTCCAGAGGGAGGAGGTCCTGCCTCTGGGGGGCGGTTCTCAGTTACCTCAAGTGAAAATGAGTGGGGGATGGGTCAGACCATGCGGAGGGTCCTCCCGGCTCCAACATTCTGCGGTCCTATGACCGGCTCAGGAAAACAAACCTGTGGCCAAGCCCCAGACAGAGCATCTCGAAAGTTCCAGGCATAGGCACGCTCCCTTTCCGAGGCTCCGCCCCATCCCGTCCCATGTATTCAAATGAACCACAAAAACAAATAGAACTCCCACAAAACTCTCAAGAGCCTACCTGAATTGCACTTGACCATCTGACATAATGTCAGGCTTGTCGTTGAGTTACCCATGTATTCGTCTCAATTCGCAGCTTCCTTTTCACATTTCAGAGCCTAGCCGTCTGTTGCCAGCTCACAAACGTTTTGGTTGGCTGTTGATGAAAGTCTGCAGGCCCTAGATCCTACGTCCCCATTCCTAGTGCTCTGACCCCAGAGAACTCAGGCAGCGAGCCTGAAGGAACCCAACAGTAGGTTTCATGGAAATGTAACTAATGCTGTGTTTGCAGCACAGGAAGGTGTCACAAGCTCCGCTGGAGGCCACCTCCTCCAAGGGGCCCTCCCAGAACACTCCAGCTCTCAAGAATCCCTCTGCTGCCAATCTTGGAGCACTTCCACTGTGTAGGAGACTTAGTTGGCCGCAAAAATACACTCCCATGACACCCCCGTGTGGCCATTTTGCTGCATTCTTTGACTGTGTCCTCATTATTCAACAAACACAAATATTTGCCTGGGAGCTCTAGGAGGCGCCTCAGACCTCTCCTCTGCCTCCTCTTCGAACCCAATCTCTTGACACCAGGCCAAGAGACCCAAGGCCACGCGAGTAGGTGTGCAGTTTGCGGAGACGCTGGAAGCCACTGGGGCCCACCTACCCTCCATGCCGTCATCCCGATGCCCAGGGAAGTTGTCATAGGAGTCCCAGCGGATGAGGGGGTCGGAGGTGTTATAGTCCACAGACACGCTCGGGCCGTTCTCCAGGTGCTCCATGCCTAAGTGGACAGGAAGGGCAGGGGCAGGAGGGGCGACAGTGAGGAGAGGGAAAAGAGATCAGCAGCTGGGAAAACAGAGAGGGGCAGCACGGTCCCCCAAGGATGCCCCCTGAGGGACTTCTCATCTTCCTGAGCATGGAAGGGCGGGACTGACCGGCAGCTTAAGCTGGATGGAGAACCCAGGAGTCTGGTTTCTTGCATTCTTGAAAAGGCCCATTCCAGGTCACAGGGGTAAGTCAGGACAGGGCACTGAGGAACTAAGACCCCTGGCTTGGTGTCTGCCTCTTTCTCCCCTGTGTCTCAGGGTCCCTGGGGTAGGGTGGGGACACCAGGAGAGGGGGTGGCCCTGGAGTCAACAGAAGGGAGTGTGGGGCGGGGCTGTAAGGTGCCAGGGACTGCAGGGCAATCACAGCCCTGACACGGAGAGGACACTAAGCCTCTGAAAGGTCGTCCCAGGCATGCCGTGTCCTCGTCTTAAAATGCCCTCCACTCCAGACAGAAACTGAGGGGAGAGGCAGTCGCTTACTCATTCTGAGAAAGCCCAGCTCAAAGACAGCACAGCTGAAAGTCAGGCCTTCCAGGGTGAGTTACCTTATTGGCCTGGCAGCCTTTCTTTAGTCTGTCCAGAGGCCCTCTGCCTGAAACCTAACTTCATCCTCCCATCCTGATCTCAAATAAGATGGAGAACAACTGGTCTCCACATATAACCAGTCTAGAGGCCTAAGGGCTATTAATAAATTGGCCTTCAGGTTGAATCACCTCAGTTCTCATAAATACTTATCGTCTACCCAGCACCTTTGAGTGTCCCCCTGGCCTCTCCCTCCATCTACCACGGCCCCCAGTCTCTGAATATATCAGGCGGATGACCTAATGGGACCAGAACAGTTGATCCAACCCAGTGCCTCTCTGTCTGCTTTTTTATTTTTATTATCCAGAGATTAAGTCACTGGTTCATGTTTAGCTGGGGGTCCACTCTGACACCCAGATCCTTTACTGAAGGCCCGCCTCTCAAAGGTAACTTGATAATTATAGAGCAGACCAGTGGGAGGATAGTAAGGATAGGGTGGGGACAGGTCAGGATAGAGGGAAGGGGTGGGAGAATGAATTCTAATGACTTTTACCTTGAATTTTCTCTGGCCCATAAGAAAATACAAACTCCACTTTGCCATATTCTGGAAATCTATCATCTGAAAAAAGAGAATGAAAATGGCAATGAATTCCCAAAAGGACTTCATAATAAGGTTTCTTCTAGAAAAATTCAAAGTAGCATATGTATATCTATATTTATACATATATACATGAAATTTTATATACAGTGAAATTAGATCTCCTGCCCCTGTCCTACTTGCCTGAGGTAAGCACTTCTAAGCATTTCTATTTCTTGTTCCACTGGCAATTCATATCTAAGACTCTAAACAATAGCCACTATTTCTAGATATCAATTTTAATAATCTCTATTGATTCATCTATGAAAATGAATAATGTGGCTCATTTAGATTGTCCCTACCTCCTTTCTTCATAAATCTGGTGAGACTATCAATTTCATTTACTCTATTGATTGCCTTGGAAACTTTAAGTACAGTAGTTTAGATCTGTTCGTCTTCAATGGTGTCTCTGACTCCCACCAGGGAAGAGGAGGACATCTGTGACCCTCCCTTACCTCTACCACTGCCCAACCTCATATTTATTTTGTCGCCTAACCCACTAATTTTCCTTGTTAAAACTGATAACATGTACATTTCATTCTATAATTATAACAGCAGCCTCTGTTTTTGCCCTCCAGCCTCTGGTACAACGAGAGCTCGTTAAAGAAACACCCTTCTCCATGAGCCAGACTACATGGAGAAGATCCAGCTCCCCCTTCAAGCTCTAGCTCCACTCTGTTCTCTTTACCTGAGCCCGCTCTGGACACAGACCACTGTCCCCTGCTTGTAGGAAAAGAAGTTACAGTGAGGATGGCGTCTGCTCCATGGGACACCCATCATGCCAGTAGATGTCTCCACCACTGCAGGCATAACTTCATAGTCTCACGTTTGTGTGTCTCCCATCCACACGACTACAAGCTCCCTGAAGGCAGGGCCTGACTTCTTTCTCTTTGCATCTCCAGGGTCTAGCACATGCCTGACACATGCAAACACACAAGTGATACTTGGTGGGTGGACAGATGGATGGAAGCATGAATGACTGGATAGGTAGGTGGGTGGATAGGTAGACAGATGGATGGATGAATAGATGTATATATGGTGGGTGAATGAATGTGTGGTTGGATGGATGGATGGATGGGTGGATGGGTGGATGGATGGATGAGTGAGAGAGTAAATGGTGAGTGGGGGTCGGGGAGTGGGTGATGGATGGATAAATGGACAGACAGATGGATGAATAGATGTATATTTGTTTATGTCCCAGGTCTGACCATGATATAGCTAAAACCTCCAGAGGACAGAAGAAAGAAAAGACACTGAAGCTTTCTTTTTTTTTTTTTTTTTTTTTGAGTTGGAGTCTCACTGTTGCCCAGACTGGAGTGCAGTGGCCGCTCCCGGCCACCCCAGCCTCGACCTGCTGGGCTCCGGCGATCCTTCCACCTCAGCCTTCCGAGTAGGTGGAACTACAGGCGCATGCTACCATGCCCGGCTAACTTTTTTGATTTATTGTAGAGATGAGGTCTCGCCTGCCCAGGCGGTCTCGAACCCAGGGGCTCAGGCAATCCACTCTCATTGAAGCTTTTCTGACCACCATTCCTTCTCTCAGAAAATAGGTCTCCCTCATGCTGCCACAGTCCTCCACTACTGCTCTTCTGCCCTGTGGGGTAATTTTTCTCTGCCAGGCCTGCCTCCCAGCTCAACAAGATTTTATTTTTTGAGTTGGATTTTCACTCTATCGCCCAGGCTGGAGTACAGTGGCATGTTCACGGCCACCCCAGCATTGACCTGGTGGGCTTCAGCAATCCTTCCACCTCAGTCTTCTAAGTAGCCAGAATTACAGGCATGCACTACCACGCCTGGCTAATTTTTTTTTTTGTAGAGACAAGGTCTTGCCAAGTTTCCTGGGCTGGTCTCAAACCCACTGACCCAGGCAATCTACTTGCCATGGCCTCCCAAAGTGCTGGGATTACAGGCTGAGCCACCGAGCCCGGCCCCAACAAGATTTTTGAGCTCTACCAAGGCAGAGCCCATGTCATGTTTTTCTTTGAGTCCCCAGCACTTGGTACAGAGCCTAGCACAAAGTGGGATGCCCAATGAATGTTGAAAAAAATGACTGTTGATAGGACACATGTGACCAATTGGGAGGACAAGATGAAGGAGATACAGGGAAAGTAGTAGAAAGTTGCAAGACATAAAATAGCCCAAGGACTAGGAGGAACTTCTCTCCACTTCTACTGACACCTTGAATTCTCAAACCACCTTCATCTGAGCTCTCTCCCACTGCCACCAAGAATGCCCTGAGACTTGGCAGACCATGTGGCTCAGAAAAGATGATCCCCACATCCACTATACTCCCTCAAACTGAGCTCCTCTCTCTGTCACAGGGGCACCCACCCTCGGCCCCAGGCAAGGAGCCCACCTTTGAAGGCATCATCCAGGTCTTCCTTCCCAAAGACAACCCCCAGGTCATGGATGGCGCAGGTGTGGAACTGCACACGGAAGATGACATCTCGGGCTGGGCTCCGGAACTTCTTGTGGTAGCATTTCAGCTAAGTGGGAAGGGAGGCAGCCAGTCAGGGGCCTGAGGCTGGGCTATAAAGTCCCAGGGAGCCCCCTTAACAGCTCCACTCTGAGAGTTCAAAGCTCACCCCAAACCCAGTGTGCAAGAGGTCACCAACACCAAACAAGATTTCAGAGCTCTGTGGGGGAAAGTTCTACTACAGCAGAGAGCTGGAGACCGGTCTCAAGACTTTTTGTTTCTTTGAGAACAAAACTGCCATCCTAAAAAAGTTTCTTCATAAAAGTCAGAATGAAAAAAAAGAAGAGTGGATTTAAACTCCAGCTTGAAGGACAAAAGTTAGCACTGAGGGAGTCCCTGTCATCAACAAAAAGCCGGGAGGCAACAGTTCCCACTGAGTGATATTTCCCTGGAAGCTTTATCTTCCAGAAGAAGATAAGCCCAGGGGATGAGACAAGGACTGCCTGAGACAAGGACTGCCTGAGGCTGAGACAAGGACTGCCTGAGTCTTGCAGGAGCCCCGAGAGCCTACGATTCCAAGTCTGGAAGCCCACCAGGAAGAAATAACTCTCTGGTCCCGAGAAGCAGGAAGGAAACAGGAAGAGGAAATAAGGAAGAAAAGATAACAAGGGCGGGGCTTGAGGCAGAGGGGCGGCACTCACCAAGATGTCTCCCTTCAGGAGCAGTCCTGGCTCGATGGTGATGCAGACGCTGGTCTGACTGTCTCCTGGGATGTTGCTAAAGGGATGGGCAGAGAAAGAGAGGGCAGCTAGAGGAGGGGAAAGGGGTGCGTTTTCTCCCTGCCGCTCCCCCAGCACGGGGCTAGTAGACTCACAGCCCTCATGAGAAGAAGTCCTGGGCAGCCTCCCCACTCCCGGCCCTGGTGCTCAGCCTTGGGCCTCCCTGGCCTCTCACTCCCATGGATACTTACTAGATTCCAGACGTGTAAACGGGTTGCATGGCTTGGTAGATGCGGAGGAAAGGCCGACATCCTGTAAGGGTGGAGTGGGTATCAGTTACGACAGCAGAACCCATGGGAGGAGGGAGGGGGAGGAGGGAGGGGGAAGGGAGAAAGAGAGGAAGAAAGGAAGGAAGGAAGGGGGAGGAGAAATAGGAAGAGGAAG